CAAACATCTGCAGGTGTTACACTTAAATCTGTCACCTGTCAAACATCTGCAGGTGTCACACTTAAATCTGTCACCCATCAAACATCTGCAGGTGTCACACTTAAATCTGTCACCTGTCAAACATCTGCAGGTGTCACAGTTAAATCTTGTTAGTTGACACATTGATGTGTTTAAGATTATAGTGATTGAGCACCTTCTCCCTCCCTCAGCATTCATCCTCTCCTCTTCATCTCACTCTCTTTTTCCACCACAGGCGCGCTTGGAGAGAATGGCTGAGTTTCAACAGAGAGGCGAAGATCTGGAGAACAACTTGGCTGAATGCAAGAGGCTTTTAGAGGAAGCCCAGGGACGACTTAGAGAGCTGGAAGAAGGAAGGGAGGAGGGGGAGGAGGATCAGGGGAGGGAGGCTGAGTTGAAGAAGGTCCAGGCTGAGCTGAGAAAACTGAAGAAGGATGAAAAGACGTTTGCGAACATGTTGAAAGAATATCAGCGAGAACTGAACAAACTGCCCTGGAATGTCGACTCCATCAGCAAAGAAGGTTTCAGCAAGGTAAGATTTGGACCTGGATGATTAAGAGGCTCTACACTTGGTTTGTTACACACACGGTTAGTTTACTTACACACTTTTACTTTCACAATAGAATAATAATCGTAAACCTTCATGCCAAGCCCTGCTTGTAAAGGGAACGAGATTAGTGTATGTGTGTAGCACATTTCTCACAAAGTTACGAGATAAAAGTGGATAAAACAACAATTAAAGTACATTTATTAAGATGGGATTCAAAAGAAGTAACAGATGCAGCATTTCTGATCTCTGCCTGCGTATTTATCTGTTCTCTAGAGTATTGTGAATATCCAGCCGTCAACCAAGGAGGACACCGAGGCGGAAAAGGATGAGATACACAAAACCTTTGTGGAGAAGTATGCGAAGGAAATTGAAAACTTTGGTATGCTTCCCTCTTGATGAGATTTGATGTTTCTTGAGTTTTTTCAATCCTGCTTCCTCACATTGTCCTCTTCTTTCAAGTATGACCCATGCTGTCCTGTCGAAGTTAAACCATATTAATCCCTGACGCTGACTCCGTTTTCACGTTGTGTCGCTTTTGGAATTGTGTGTTATTGTGTTATTGTGTGCCTCAAACTATTCACAGAAGAAAGAAACTTAAATTTTCACAGCAACTGACACAGGAATCATGGTCCAAAGGAAAAAAAAATAAAAATGTATGCACTTGTATGTGCGTATGATTAGCACTTCAATCATAGCACTTATGCACTTAAAGAATCTTTCGCAAATAGCAGTTAGGATCCTCAGATGAGGGCTTGACAGTTGTCGGCGGTGATATGTTGTGGTTTCTCTCTTGTGACAAATGTGCTTATTGTAAGTCGCTTTGGAAAAAAGCGTCTGCTAAATGCCTTAAATGTAAATGTAAATGTAAATGTAAATGATAGTTGGTCGCTTAATCTTACATTTCCCATGATGCAACCAATTGTGCTTTTGCATAAAGGCGGAGTCATACTGGATTTGATCTGCATGGAAAAAGCAGACAGAGCAGAAATATTTATTGTGGTGTAGTAAACATTAACCGCGAGGGCCGACATGCCCAGCAGGCAACTGCTGCATTTGTGGTGAACATCTCTCACGTGTCCTCACGTGCACTATTTCACTGGGTGCAACATAAACAACATTAAGAACAATCGACATTTACTGAAAATATCAGTTCCCCCTCCTCTGAAGTTGAATGGTTTGTTGAATGGGAAGCGATTGTTTGGACCTAACTTCCTTTTATTTCTTTATTTTTCTTTATTTACCTCTTTCAGTCAGCGGCCCCAGTTTCTAAAATCAGTATTTTACAAACACACCCACAAGACATTGTCAGACTTAACAAAGCTTACTGAGAACCACCGTTTATAGAGCTGAGTCATGCTTCCAGTGACGGATATACTGACACAAGTTCCTTGGAAAATGTTGAATCAATGGATTTTTTTTTTTTTTTTTACTTACAACATTAATTCTTCTTTTTTGTTTCCAGTACGACACAAAACATTTTAAAAAAGGGAACAAGGTTGCTTCAGCGAGTCACTTAGCAACAGTGTTTTAATGACTGAGGCAGTTTGAACTCTGAACATGTAAACAAAAGCTGAAGGCAGCATTTCATGTGTTCATGTGTTTGTGCAACAGGGATGTTGAGGCGTTGGGACGACAGTCAGAGGTTTCTGTCAGACAACCCATATCTGGTGTGTGAAGAGACGGCCAACCGCCTTGTCGTCATTTGCATTGACTTTGAGATAGACGAGGTGAGTCCTGTGAGCAAACTCTGTGTGCGTCCTCCGGTTCAAAACAATGAACTCAGTGAGATTCAAGTTTTGTGAATTGCCCCCGTGCTTTTAGAAACATGCAGTGATGGAGCAGGTGGCCCACCAGGCCATCGTGATGCAGTTCATCTTGGATTTGGCTCGGACGCTGAAGGTCGACCCAAGAGGCTGCTTCAGACAATTCTTCTCAAAGATCAAGGTCTGTTTCTGAAGTTGATCTCCTGCCCGACGTCAGGAGACTCAGACCCATATCTCTGGTGGAGCAAAAACACTAATGACACTAAAGCTAATGTGGTCAGCAGGACGCTTTGGAGACACACTATAGACACGGATGTGAACCCAGACATCTTGTGTTCAGGTTTCTCAAGATGCATGTTCACATGATGTGTAAATATAGTCTTTTTCTGTGAAGTCACTTATCTTGTTTGATTGCAACACAACAGAGCAGAAACGAAAACATAAAAAACAAAGCAAAAGCAAAAGATATTGAACACAAATATAAAATAAACAAATATATAAATAGAACAAATTCAATGAAATCATATATAAATAGAACAAATGAAATCAAATGTGGACTCCAGCATTCTGTATATATGAGTTTAGAGCTGATCAGACTTCAGTAGCCATGAGCTTGTTGCTATGAGCATTTATACACAAACAAGCAGCCAAGGTGATTCATATCTGAAGCGAAGTGATTCTGCATTAAGTTGCTAAACCTCAACAACCAGAAATTCCTCTTTCGAAAATCCGACAGGATTTGATGTGGGAGGGTGTGGAGGATCTCTCTGTACCACAGGGTTACATAAGGGCAGATATCTCTCATCCTGGTGCTGAACGAAGAGTCGCTTATCAAGAAGTTAATGGTTCAACATGGGGAGAAACAATTTCCCAGAGGAAAGAGCAAAGTGTTGAGTCGAGGAATTTCCTCACTTAGTTTCCAGGAAGTAAACCAAGAAATTAAGTTCCATTAAAAAAAAAAAGACAGTGGAAATACAAATCTCATTTCATGTAAACAGGAAAAGGGTGTAATTTCTTTTGTGCATAAAAGTCGATCTGGACAATTTACAGTCCACGTGAAATATTTGAGAACAAACGCTTGAGAACAGGGAAGTGAATTAAAACGGTGACCTGACATGTTCTCTGTCGTTGTGCTCAGAAAAAAAAACTAAAGGTAGAAAAAAATGCGTCAAAATTATAAAGTAACTTTAGATGACGTTAACGGCCTTGTTCATATGTCAGACTGCAGACCAGCCGTACCACGATGCATTTCACCACGAGCTGGAGCTGCTGAAGGAGCGGGTCCGCAGCTGTGCACGGATCCGTATGGAGGACGCCATGAAGGAGCTGGAGGAGGAGGAGAAGCAGAAGAGACTGGGCCCCGGTGGTTTAGACCCTGTAGAGGTCTACGAATCACTGCCTGAGGTAGCGACACACACACACACACACACACACACACACACACACACACACACACACACACACACACACACACACACACAGCTCACAGCTCCAACTGTTGATGCATAAAATAAATCTCCAGGTGTCGTAATATTTGGGATATCTGTTCTTTATCTTATATAATTTGAAGTATAATTTAAGTTGCTTTACTCGGTGAGAGAGATGGTTTTCAGTTTGTCGTTTGTAGATTTTGAAGTCAGTGTTTTTTCAGTCAATTGATTGTGTTTGGAAAATGAGAGAAAGTCAATACACAGCTCAGCAGAATGGACTGTTCTCAGTACAAAGTAAACAGCAGCATCGACCCTCCCTAAGTTTACACACAAGAACAAAGTCGTTTGGTTTCAATTCAAGAACAGCAGAATGAAGTTCAAGCTTAATGAACTGCAGATAGACCCACCAGCCAGAGCTCAGTTCATCATATCAGTGCTTTGATTAATGATTATGTTTCATCGTACAGGAAATACAAAGGAGCTTTGATGAGAAGAACATCCAGATGCTGCAGGAGGCGATGAACCAACTGCACCCAGATGTGAGTGTGTTTGTAACGGACACTTTAGGAGGACCAAGACGAGACAACACGAAAATCTATCTGTCCATTCACACCGTCTCTCTGTCGCTGTGTGTCTCTCTACAGGAAGGAAAATACCACCTGAAGAGATGCATTGACTCTGGATTGTGGGTGCCGGACTCAGGAGAGGGTGATGATGAGGAAGAGGAGGATGAAGAGGACGAAGAGGATGAGGAGGAGAGCTAAAAATAAAAGAAAAAATTAAACAAACGGGAGAAGGCAGGGACGATACACGTTCCCTCCTTTTTGACTGACATCACATTAGGATCACTTTGTGTAATTTGAGTTCTGCAGCTCTGTCAACGTCTCTGTAATGTGTCATACATAAAACATGTTATACATTGTAGAACATAGTATTTTACATGTTTGTACACCGCAATGTCAGAATGTATCATTTATATATTATAGATATGTGAATGTTTTATAATCACGTGGAGTAAATTATTATGTTATTTAAAAACCTGACATCCTGGAGCAGTTTAGACAATCACACTTCTCTTTTCTCAATTTGAAGCTACTTTGTGCAACAGAGTAAAAGAGGAATGTATCTTGTAACAGTTGTGTTGCTGAATAAATGTTATTAGAAACAGAAGATCTCATTGAAACGACTGATTTATTCCTAAATTTACTATTTCTAGTCCTTTTAAAACTTTTCAAAAGATGCCACATATTATGAATACGCAGAAACTTTAAACCCACTTAGTCTAAATCAGTTAAAATCCATCCATAATGATATTAACGGAGGTGGATAAACCTGATGAGAACCACAGTTGAATAATTAAATCTAATTATGTCACGGGATCTTACAGGTTGAGCAACCTGTCCACTGTTCTTCTGGCACAATGGCGCCATCTGTTGTCTGTTCTGGGGAAAACTCATAAACCACATCAGCAGCCTGAAAGATGAACAATGATCAGAACATTTTATTTTTCTTTATTTCATATTTGACTTCATATTGTCTCGTTGATGAGGTGGAAAATGGAGCTGACGGCTTTTAAATCATCAGGATAAAAGTCATCAGTCGAATCTGTCAGGAGATAAAAACACGTTTCAGATGCCAAAGACAAGTTTGAGACACAAACTGTATGAAAACAACAACTCTCAGAACCTACTGGCACCAGCCTCATAAATCCACTGTCGCTCCAACTTCAGGCATCTCGGAGTAAACTTGTTTTTAATTAAAAATCTCAATGCCAAACTAGATCTGCAGATTCTTAACAGTTAAAGATGCAGCAGATTATAAATGTCTTCACGTATTCATCTGAAAATGATTGTTTTGATTAATGAAAATGACCATTACAATTTCAGATTTCTTAATCAGTGTCGAACCAAAAGTCCAAAACCCAAAGATATGTGTGACATAAAACAGAAAACAGATTCTTTATAAAAAAATAACAGCTGCTGTGTAATTTTGAATCAATGGTTTGATCAATTATCGTTAAAATATAAAATGTTTCTATTGTAATTTGATATTTTTTTGTGGTTTTACCCACAATGTGTTTTATTCTGTATTTAGTTGTGAGACATTTTCTAAGTTGTGTTGTAGAAGCTGGAGTTTATTTTCAGTTTATGAACTTTTCCTCTTGTTTCTGTGAATCATGACTGATTGTCTGCCATATTCTCTCTCTCTTCCATCTCTCTCTCTCTTTCACCTGCATAATTAATCTCTCGCTCCATCTCTCCCTCTCTCTCTCTCTCTCCTTCATAATTAATCGGTGGGTTTGATTTAGTGTCCTGTGCAGGATTGTTTGAGGCAAAGCTTCTTTGTGCGGTCACTTTTGTAAATGGGAAACAATCAGCGCAGGCGCGGGGCATAAATCAAATCTAGATAATGCTTGTAAAAGTCGATGGGCGAGTAACGGACCGGCGTCATCATAGAGAACTGCTTCTGTGTTCGTTCATCTGTCGACAGTTCAGGTTTTCCTGTGATGTGTGAATATGACATCAATTGAAATGAAATGAGCAAACAAAGGTTTTTGAATGATCATCAGACACTGTCCCTCAGAAAGTTTATTTGCCATCACAATGAAAACTGAGAAAATCAGAAGATCAATTAGTTGATCGACCAAAGTTGTTTCTCGTAACTGAATTTTCAAATATTCTTTTGTTGCAGCCTCTCAGATGCAAAGATTTGCTTTATTCTACTTGTCTTACATCACAATGAACTGAATATCTTTTATCTGAGACCCTTGATTAATCACGAAACATGCAGTTTGACTTTGTGCATTTTTCTGACGTTTTAAGACCAAACGATGAATCGTCGAATTGTGAAAATAATCCACTGATTAATCGATGATGTTATCGCAGCCGTACTTTGCTTCAGGGTGTTGTTTTCACTGAAATAGTTCACGATTAACTGTAAAGTACAGTCATTTTATCCAGTTTAATTGCAAAAAACAAACTGTGAAAAACTGTGGCCTTCCATCTTTTTCCAAACTGTCCAGTATTTAAAGGAGGAGCCGCCTGATTTCTGTCTCTGGGCTTTAAATGAATAAATGTGCTGCATGTCCTTGAATGACTGTAAAAGGACACAGTCAAAATGAGTGGAAGGGGAAAAAAAAGCAGAGCGAGTAACAGGAGACATGGATCCTTATTGTGATTTTCTTAATATGAGCAGTGTGTTCCAATGAAAATCTGCTGTGTGTGTGTGTGTGTGAGTGTGTGAGTGTTTGTCTGTGTGTGTGAGACGTGGAGCGCAATGACGCCTGACTACTGAAGCAGAGAATTGGCGAGTGGCTGCCAATAAGAGCGAGAAAAATAAAAGACATTGCCAGAGGACGAGAGAAAAAAAAA